ACATTAAACTGATTACATGTTAATTTCATCCATGCAATTGAATACAGTTTATGCTAATGAGTCTAAACTCTCTACACTCTTAAAAATAAAGGTGCTTCACAATGCCATAAAAGAACCTTTTTTTTGTCTAAATGGTTCCATAAAGAACATTGAACATCTGAAGAACATTTCTGTTTCACAAAAGATTCTTTGTGGCGAAAGAAGGTTCTTCAGATTATAAAAAGATAAGAAAGAAACGGTTCTTTAAAGAACCTTTGACTGAATGGTTCTTTGTGGAACCAAAAAAGGTTCTTCTATGGCATCGCTGTGAAGAACCTTTTAAGCACCTTTATTTTTTAAGAGTGTATGCCTCTATAATCTTCTTCACATATGGCCTTATTCATAAAACACGAAGAATGAATTTATGTGTAAACCATTAAAATCTGCATTCAATTAATTGGCACAAAATATGAGTGAATTATGAGCATTTTATACAAAAATGTTGTGTTTGTGTTCTACAAAGGCCCATTGTTTCTCAAAATGTCACACTGCAAACAAATATTATATTACAGGCAACCAAATGCAAATGTGTGTGTGTGTATATATTAATACAAAAATAGCTAAGAAAAAAAATACATTTCATACTAATAATTATAAAATTAATTATAAAATTATAAAAAAAAAATATATATATACAGTATATATATAAACTACAAAAACCTAAACCAAACAAATGCAGTCACACTATATAGGGTCCAATTCATGCTATTAAAAAAACATTAACTATGACTTTTGCCTCAATAAACAACTCATTTGCTGCTTATTAATAGTTAGTAAGGTAGTTGTTAAGTTGAGGTATTGGGTAGGATTAGGGATGTAGAATATGGTCATGCAGAATATGTGCTTTATAAGTACTAATAAACAGCCAATATGTTAATAATAGGCATGCTAATAAGCAACTATTTAATAGTGAGAATTGGTCGCTATGCTAAAGTGTTACCACAATACTTTCAGGCCAAACACTTTGGATTTAGTGTGAACAGGCCTTTATGTGCCCAATTTGAATGCAGCACTGACTGCACATGTACTGGGAGTGCACAGAGGTCAAAAATAAAGAACTTTGTCTTTGTAAACAAATGGACTCATTCAACACAAAATAGACAGAGAGGGAGGGAGTGCAACCTTTGCACACAGCTAAAAACACTGTGACATGACCGTGATGCACAGGTGAGAGTTCTGCCATCGGGCGACCGGGTCAGACCACGGTTATGAAAACTGAGTTGATCTGTAACATGCAAGCTCCATTCAGCCCTCATATCAGAGATATTAAGACCATGTACAGATCAGCTGAGTGCACATTCACACAAAAATGATCACAAACAGAGAGACTTAATAGGCAGGGATGTGTCTGAGTGTTTGGTCATGCAAATAATTGCTGGACAAAGGCAGAAAGGATGGTGTGAATGATCTTGACTCAAGGGGGATGACCACACAGACCTGAGGAACCCTTTTGGTGGTTGACAGCTCTCCGGAGTCCATTATGCAGCTTAATAACAGTATTTAAAGTCAATGTGTCTACAGCAGCTCTACAAGGTACTTGACATCACAAAAGCTTTCTCTCCTTAAAAAAAAAGAGAAAAAAGCAAGACCTGTCAGGATAAAAATTACCTTCCCATTACAATCTCAAATTACGATGTGTATTCTTCCTTTGTGTTGCTTTACGCTATTTTGGGCACTTTTGTTTTGTTAAACAGCGATTCTCTGAAATAGGCTGATATAGACTTCTTTTCAAAGCAAACTGAGGGAAAGAGAGGGAGGACCTGGGTTGTGACTCAATTGTCCACAAACTGCTGTTACGACTTTGAATTGATGAGACGCAAAAGAAAGAAAACAAAATGGGATATGTCTGAGATTCGCAGGCTCCAGCAGGAGTTCAGCTTGTTATGTTGCCAGCACAGTCATGCAGAACAGGCACAATAAGGCAAGGTGACGGAGCAACGCAAGCTTAATAGTCCTACTAAAGGGTGCGATATGAACTCACATAAAATCATGTGTATGAGACAGGTTCTTTCTGCAGGGAGATGATATCGGCGTGCACTGTGTTGCAAATTACATCAGGGATGTGCCAATGGAAAAAAGACATTGCTTTAGTGCCATTATAGAACAATGTCTCCATATCTCATCCCTCCAATGAAAATAAAGAACTTCTAGATGTACAATGGAGGATAGCACATTTTGTTCAGTTAATTTTTTAATGGGTGAAATCCAGTCATTTAAAAGGAATCCACAAAATAAAAATAAAAATACACCCTATAAAATTTCACCAAAATTTTGCTAATGTGATTACACCTTAACAGTAAATAGAACCAAAAACAATAACACTTTTCTATTGACCTTTTTTCTGTTAGTAAACATTGTGACATTTTTCTGTGGGCGGAGCTTAGGTGGAGGCAGTAAAACTGTTTGGCACTATAAGCACAAAACATTTCCTGATCTGTAATGTGACTGTGTTCAATGACAATAGCTTGATTACGATATAATCTCTTCTAAAGTAATATTTTTTTATAATGCTGTAGATATACTGTATGTAGCTAAAATGTACCCCTTACCCTTGGGGTGGGTAAGTATTTTTTTTTTAAAGAAGGCTCTTATTCTCACCAAGGCTGCATTTATTTGATCAAAATACAATAAAAACAGTAATATTTTGAAATATTTTTTACAGTTTAAAATAACTGCTTTCTATTTCAATATATTTTAAAAGGTGTTTTTTTTTTTCCCTGTGATATCAAAGCTGAATATTCAGTATCATTACTCCAGTCTTCAGTGTCACATAATGCTTCAGAAATCATTCTAATAAGCCAATTTGCTGCTTGAGAAACTATTATCACCTTCAATGAAAAAAAAAATTTACACTGCTAAATCATTTCATGGAAACTGTGATACATTTCTTTCAGGATGCCATTTTTTTCCTTGATGAACAGAAAGCATTTATTTGAAATATATTAGTGCTGTCAAACGATTAATCGCGATTAATCGCATCCAAAATAAAAGTTTTTGTGTACATAAATATACTGTGTATATTTATTATGTATATATAAATACAAACACATGCATGTGTACACATGCATATATTATGTAAACAAAAACTTTTATTTTGGATGCGATTAATCGCGATTAATCGTTTGACAGCACTAAAATATATATATTGTCTTTACTGTCACCTTTTAATCAATTTAACATGTCCTTGATAAACAAAAGTATTTATTTTAAAAAATCTATTGACTCCATACTTTTTCACAGTACTGCATTTAACATTACTGTAAATCAGAATAAACTACCATTTCTTTCAACACTATTGTCGAAGTTATAAAACAAACCCCAATGTTCCTTCCGCTATCACAGCTGGCATGCTAACCGGTACTACTATGATTGATAGGCCATACAGTGCCTTGGTTAAGAAAGAGGAGGCAAAACTAATGATTGTTTCCTCTAAAGCTGTGTGCTAAATTATACAATAGAAAGCAAAAGTCAGAGAAAAATGGAGACTATAGAAGCTAAACATGAAGACTGTACAATATATGCGGTTGTTTATTTAGGGTTTTTCTTAGTCATGCTGGTCTGTTCCCAGCTGAGCATTCTGATTATCAATTCTGTTCATGCGTAAAATATATAAGCAATATAATCACAGTGGCTGAAATGAAGGAGAAAACGCAACATTTCAGACTCTCTTTAATAAAACACCAGATGAATATTTGATGAAGGTTACTAACATCCATATTAAAAAATAAAGCCTACTGAAAAGCACAGAGGTTCTCACCGATCTGTTTACGGTACTGATCGACCGGCAACTTGACAGAACTTGCATCCTTTTTCCCCATCCTTCATTCACCTGAGAGAGAAACAGAATGAAAAATACACCAAGTATGAGGAAAGAGTAAGAAAAGTTCTTACACAGTGAACAGTGAGAGCTCTGTGTCTGTTTGCTTACAAGAATCAAATGAAAAGTGCTACTGCAGTCCTCAAGTAAACATATGCTATGGGTATGGCTCAAAATACTAAATGCACATGAATGGGAATACTACCAAAGCTCACTTAATGGATAAACACTGCTTATCTACAAACCACCAAGAACAGTGGTTCTCAAATGGTTTTGCTTCAAGACCCAGATTTTACATTGAATGGCAATGTGACTCAATGCAACACTATAAAATCCTCAAATCCTATAACACAACAGACTGACTTTGAGAACTACTGACAATTTTGTAACTTTTTTTGAGGATGAGAAAATGCCACTAAACCTCTGACATTTAGCAGTTCATTCCCTCTAGTTCCCTTTTTTATTTCAGGTTGTGACCCACCAGTTGTGAACTACAGCCTTGCACTACACTTTCAGGGCATCACATCCTAAACTGCTGCAAAAGTCATGGGTGATTGAGTAAGACGGAAAGCATCTTGAAGCTAGAAAGAGGAATTTGATGCAAGGCACATCCCCAGAGGTGGCAAGGGACTTCAAGGAATTCAATCATGCGAAGGTCGATCCGAGACACAGTCTATTTGAAAGTCTTCCCATGCCCGCAAACCACCCTTACACTAGTGAATTTGTGTTAAATTGCACTATGCTGAATACCTCCGGCCAAAAATATGTATTCTGAATTAATCAAATGTGGGTAGAAAATGATTTTCAGAATACCTAATTGTGTTACATAGAGTTAATGATTCATATAAATGATTCAAACTTTGGGTCAATGACATAGAAGACTGTCTATGATAAAGAAAAGCAAAAATATTTTAAAAATCTAGTTTGGAGCACATGTGCCGAGGTCAAAGAAAGGTTCTAATTGGTTCTTTGTATTCATGCTGGTTTCACATGCTTTTTTGAAAATCGTTTCTACCATATTCAAGAAAAGGTTCAATTTCAACTCAGTAATGATTAAAAAATGTCATGTGGTGTAAGCATTAAGTATAAAGTAATAACATATTTGCGTGTACACACCTTAAGAATTATTTTCAAATATAATTTTAAATATTTTTTTCAAGATAATATACATACTTTTTTTGTTTTTACAAATATTATTAATTATTAATTTATAACTATCATTCTGTTTTTAGGTGATTGCACCACTGATTTTTTCAGATATTAATTGACTTGGAAACACAGTCATGAGGGAATACAAGCGTCCTTTATATGATTTCCTGTTTTAAGCTTGGTTTTCTGGACAGACAACATGACCCTGATTTAGTAGTCAAAAGTTCTGCAAATATTATTAAACATTGAGGCAGTTTTGTTATATAAAAATCGCATGCATTCAGAAATTCAAAAAATGCTCAATAGAAGAATACAAAAATTTATCAAATTGCCACATGTAGTATTTTGAATGTATCTGTTCATTCAATGCAGTAAAAAGTGGGGTGTAACTGCAAAGATTGTCCATTTATATTAAAGAAGCATACACTCCATCTCATTTTACACTACTCTGACTTTCCCGATAGAGATCTCAGATTGATTTCCATAGCAACTGAAGTGAAAAAGGCCAGAGGAAAAAAAAAAGCACCTTATCTCATGATGTATGTTATAATGGTTCGTTTGGAAGGCAAGGAATTTTGAAATTGGTAACAGGTTAAGTGCATTAAAGCATTAGCCATACTTACAGCCTCATAAGCTGTTTTTATTGTGAGGTGGTCAGGGAGCCCTTTATCAAGATTCTGTGATCCTCACAATACTATTTGCAATCAATACTGCTCCTTCTGTTAAAGACTTGGAAAAAAGGGTGCATGAGCCAAAGGGCAAGTCTGTTTCTGATGATGTTTAAACCTCTCTGACCTATTCTCTCCCAGAGAAATCGAGCCGTAGACCTTCGACCTGATCCATTTTGGCTCATAAGCCGGAGATCACCTGAGGAAAGGTGTACAGGCTCTGTGCTAAGAGCCTAGACTGATTAGCATGAAAAACAGAGAAGAGCTGGAGGAAGTGCAGAGGTGCATGAAAACAGAGAATTACGAGGCTGTTTTCATCCTCTCTTGAGGCACGACTGTGTGAGCTGAAACCTCCCCTTTGGCTGCCTATGCAAAATGAGTTCAAGGGTCATCTCAGCATCCTACTTTTGATGTCTTTAATCTTGATGTAATTACAAGGACTCCACACGCAACAACAAAGTGGGAGAAAGAGGAATGGATTACTTTTCCAAAGATGCCAGAGGAAGAGGGCCATTACTGTGTTTACACAACATGGTTTGAGTCAAGCCCAGGGGCATGACCTACAATGACCAAACACTTCCTTTGTAATGACTGTGACCACTAAAGGAAGTTGACAAGGGCTGTTAAGTGGCAAACATGGCCATATTCGAAAAACTTGAGTCTTATTTCTGCCCATAGAGCCTTAGGCTTTGTAAACGGTGATGATTCAACCAGCGGTCAGGAGATCGTAAGGTCACAGAGAGGGTACCAATCTGATCAACTCCCAACTTCAATGCAAAATTCGCCACCAAACTAGACATGAAATGCTTAACCTGGCCATTAAACAGAGACAAAACACTAAATAGAGACATGAAGGATATCTTTACAGAATTTTAAAAAAAAGACATAAACCTTGCATAATCTAATACATATAGGCCTGGTTTCAAGACAGGGCTTAGTTTAAGTCAGGATTAGGCAATAGTTGAATTAGGACATTTAAGTAGTTTTTAATAAACGTGCCTTAGAAAAAAAATAACATCAGTGGTATGCATCTTGAGACAAAACAAAGGCACTGACATATTTTAAGATCTGTTAGTGCAAGTTTCTTTCAATGGAAACAGCTCAGAATTACATTTTAGTCTGGGACTAGGCTTAAGCCTTGTCTGTGAAACCGGGGGATACAAATCTTCAAAGATAACAGTGTCCAAATTGCAGACAATATACATTGGGTGAGCTGTGGTCGATCCACAAATAGAGGGAGATTGCCTATGGGATTACATCTCTGCCACAATTTTGCGCGCGAAAGATCATATTTTGAGCGAAACTGAGTTTTGTGGAGAAAATGTTTGTCTCGCAAAGAAGAAAGTATTTAGAGCGCGCAGAAATCAATTTTGCATTTAAAATAAGTTTTTGGATGTGTGCAGACCTTCTCTTTTGCGTGTGCAACGTTTCACTAGCTTGCTCACCTGATGCCCGCCCTCAGTGCTCTCTAATTCCAAAGGCTCGCTTGCTCAACACAACCCAGCGTTACAATATGCCATAATTCCAGCCAATCAGAGACGAGGCTGCTAAAATCTGATTGGCTGCCTTGACAACCAATCACAACATTCCTTGCATTACCTCGACAGCAGAAGAGGAAAAATACAGTGCATGCATAATTATTATGCAAGTTGATATTCTGATCATATTTTTTTCCAAGCACATTTTACCAATTCCAAACGACATCAATCTTAATAACTACTATTAATCTTGTATTTAATCATTTATAATTGATATATAATTATTCATGAAGGCTGGAAGTGAAAAATGTCTTATATTCAGGCGTGCATAATTATTAAGCAGATTTTCTTTTACAGATAAAATGAGCCAAAAAAGAGATTTTTTCACTTCCAGCCTTCATGAACAATAATGTATAGATTATAAGTGATTAAATACAAGATTAAGATTGATGTCATTTGGAATTGGTAAAATGTGCTTGGGAAAAAATATGATCAGAATATCAACTTGCATAATAATTATGCATGCACTGTATTTTTCCTCTTCTGCTGTCGAGGTAATGCAAGGAATGTTGTGATTGGTTGTCAAGGCAGCCAATCAGAATTTAGCAGCCTCGTCTCTGATTGGCTGGAATTATGGCATATTGTAACGCTGGGTTGTGTTGAGCAAGCGAGCCGTTGGCATTTAGAGAGCACTGAGGGCGGGCATCAGGTGAGCAAGCTAGTGAAACGTTACACGCGCAAAAGAGAAGGTCTGCACACATCCAAAAACTTATTTTAAATGCAAAAACAAACTTTTTTTCTTTGCGAAACAAACATTTTCTCCACAAAAAATTGCACTTTTGGGCACTCAAAATATGATCTTTCGCTTGCAGAATTATGGCAGAGTTCTAAGCCTATAATTGCCAAGGGACATGAGCGGGACGGATTTTTCAGTCCCGCTCCCACTTGTTCCCGCAAGATTCTGTCCCGCGCCCGCAAAAATATATCTTATCTGGTCCCGCTCCCGTCCGCAAAAGCCCGCATAAAAAAGTAATCTATATAGATTGTTTTCAGTACATTGAAGACATTTACATGAAATTGTTCTGTAACATCTCCTAAGCTCCACAACTCCCAGCATAAACACTCCCGATAAAATATTTGTTATTTAGGCTAAGCATCAATATTCACAACCACTGTTATTTTTTACAGAAAGCAAGCATGGGCTGCTGTGTGCATGGTTTGGCATGGCAGAATGCGAGCAGCACGCTTCCTTTATTATCACAAAAAGCTGACATCTCAGTTAATCGCGATCTCATAAAGCTCTGTTATAACACTAAATATATGCACAATGAATCTTTCACAGTGTCTAAAATGAGAGGATTCGTGAGCACGCAATTTCAGCACTGCGGTGAGTAGATTCTAACTTAATCACCTCTGATTGGCCATTGCGTTCCAGAAATCAACAGTTGAGTCTTTGATTGGCTACATTATAAATGGAAACTATGTCTAGCTTGTGCGCTAATCATTTTAATGTTAATATTAGTTGTTATTTTTGCTTTAGTGCAACAGATAAATAACAATTTATATGTTTTAGACACTTTATGTTTAGATAATTTATATTTTGCGGGAGTCCCGCGAATCATTTTATTCTCCAGCATCCCGCACACACACGAGTCTCTTCCCGCCCGCACCCACACTCGCCCATCTAGAGTTGTCCCGCGCCGCACCCTGGTGCGTTGGGTCCCGCGGGAGTGCAGGTCTCTACCAAGGGCTATGTGTACCAAAGCTTTGAAGACTCAAATTGAGACCAGAATCCTTTTTCAGAAGCTAAACTACAAAGGTTTCCGTTTGAAAGAAATTTAAGATTAAAATAAGCACCGCATTAAAAAATGAATTAAATAAAGACAGCAATATGCATTTTAGTAATCAAGTGTTCAATACAAAAGGTTACCATGAGTGCAGCTATGAGCTAAATTATGACCTGAACTGTATTTATTTTATGTAAAATAAAATTATGAACAGAATCTGGAATTATAGGGCATGTGCATTAGTTTCATTAATGCAATCTGATTACGTGGCATGCATGACAGAGCAATAAACATATAGTTGACTCCCGATTCATCTAAATGCCACGTAATGGAATTGCACTGTTTACAGTTTCCATCCTGTCAACGTATCATCCAGTTCCTGCAGCCTGACCTGAAGTTAAGACATTCTGCGGAATTATCCAATCGCAACACAGAAACCGAAAGGCTTGACCAATCACAGACTGTGCGGGGGGCGGCCGCTAAATCAAACACGAATGTTTGGATTCTTTAGGAAACAGTAAAGCGCTACAAATCGCAAAAAAATATTCTTATTGGTTTCCTTGGCCAGTAACAGATATCTAAATGCAAGGCAAAATTCATAGCTGTGTAAAACGAGAGCGTTATGTCTGAGGGCACAGACTTACCACTTAAAAGAGGGGAAGATTGAATCTCTCTGTAGTTCCTGGTTCAGCTTTGTGGATTTCAAATGGATGCGTGGTTCAGCCAATCACGAGTTACTCCCTTTAAAGAAACCCAGATTACGTCATTAGGTGGGCGGGCCCTCAAACCAAACCTTCAAAACCAAGATGTCAAATGCATTGAAGAAGACTGAACACATACAGACATCAAATAAAAATATTTTACATATAATATCTGTTCATATAATATATCTGTACACAATGTATTTAAAATCTAAAGCTAAGTATAGTGTAAATGTAAGTTTTATTTAAAAATGCTTTATAATATTTATAGGCTTAAGTGAGATAAAAATGTAAAATAAATCAAACTACAAACCCATATTTCATGCACCATATTCTCTCCATGTTTTTATTTAATATAGCCTTCAGTTCTTTCTGTTTTATAAGGCTGTTGAGTTGTTTGATTGCATGGGGTTCACACAAATTACTTTTCCTTATTTAAATTACCACAGTTGAATTATTAGAAAGCATAAGGCTTTTTTTTTTATTCCAGTCATGTTTGGTTTATCAGTCAAAAAATATCATCAGAACATGGTCATTTCAGTTGGCCTGTCTGATATCTGCATTTTTAATAGTATATTTCAGACAAATATGAATACTATACAAGAACAAAAAAAGAGTTCATTTGCAAAAAGAGATAACTGCGTTTTTAACAATTTTCAAAAATCAAGTTTTCTCATTGTGCATTCCAATTAATCTCAATCAAACTGCAGTTGGGTTAAACATGATAACATAATAAAAAAAAAAGTTATCTGTTTTTGCAAATAAACTCTTAAAGGGGTCATATGATGTTGCTAAAAATAACATTATTTTGTGTATTTGGTGTAATGAAATGTGTTTATGCGGTTTAAGGTAAAAAAAACACATTATTTTCCACATACTGTACATACTGTACTCTCCTCTATGCCCCGCCTTTCTGAAACGCGTCGATTTTTACAAAGCTCATCAGTCTGAAAAAGTGAGGTGTGCTCTGATTGGCCAGCTACCCAGTGCGTCATGATTGGCCGAATACCTCAAGCGTGTGACAGAAATGTTAGAGGGGAAGCCCCGGCTTAGCGTGCGCTGAGGCCGGTATAGAGTGAGCTGAGGCGGGCTGGACTCCGCTTTGTCCACGGTGAAAGCCGATCCGGCGATGCACAGCGCGATGTTGATGTATTTCCTCAGTTACCAGCACGGATCAGCTCCAGGCATGACGAAGCAGATATCGTCCTCTTTTGGAAGGTCAAACAAAGTAGTTTCGCTTTCACAACGAAACACACAGCGCCTTCACATCATGGCGGCAGCAACAATACTTCAGCCAGAATAAAAGTTACGGCTTCTTTCTTTGCGTGAACGTTTGGGCGGCGTTATGCAAATCTTCCGAGATCGTGACGTAGGTATGTGGGGGTGTGTTAGAACGAGCCGTTTTAGGTAGGCGTGGTTGACTCTTAACTTTTATAAAGAATATCTCTTTGGATTTGAGACTTTAGTCTTTGCAACTTTACAGATCTTCTTTATGCACCAAGAGCTTGTAACACTCCAAAGAGAAAGGAAAAATTGAAATCGCATCATATGACCCCTTTAAAATATTATGTAATCCCTCAAGCAGTATACAACGTCATAAGCTATGTGCATAAAAACTTGAAAATAATTAATGTTGTTTCTAAAGGAGTTTAGCACATCACACTGAGGGACAGAGGTAAAATTTCCAAAGGAATTTAAGGTAAAAGACTAATAATGTCACATCTCTATTTTTACGTTACCGAGTTTACCTTAACAAAATTCATATTTTCTGTACAAAGCTTTTATAAGGGCTGATGAAATATTTAAAAATGTGTCATACGTTTGTTGCCTGCATGCAACACATGAATGAATCACGTACAGCATCTCAGGGAGAAGGCTAATTTACCTTAACAATCCCACATGTTTGTACGCTGCGATCTTTACACAATGCTTTGAAACGCACAATGTGAAATTTCACAATGAAAGAAAAGGCGAGAGGGAGACAGCAAGATACCAACTTGTTTTCTCTACTCCTCTCTCCCCTTTTTTTGTTTCATTTAAGGCTAATTTCCATTTCTTTTGTTTGTGTTGAATTTTGTCTGCATAATTGCATCCAGTCTTATTGCTGCCTGGGGCAGTGTGGATTATGGAGAGGCTTGCCACTGCTTGTAACTTATTGAAGTTTAAAATGATTTTCTGCTCTCCTATGGGCAGCTGATTTGAGAGCAGCACAGCGGTAACTAATAGATCTAATCTGCTTATAATGAGCCTGTATAACACATTATTTACTCAGCAGAGAACACGGATAAAGAGCAATTTAGCACCACTTTGATAAACCGAAACAAGTGGATGTGGATGAAACTGTAATGACCTGTGCTGTCCTTTGAACCATCAAGATCAAGAGAATGTAGTTACTGCTTCAATAGCCAAAAGGATTTATTCAGTAAAAATTTGCAGTAAATGTTGTTTCTTCTACAACATGTAGCTTTTTCTCATAGCACAAGGACTCTGGGCAAAAATCTTTTTCAAATATTTAAATAAGCCCTGCCATCTTCGTTGAGGGAGAGACTTGCTTACCATGTGTTTTGCATAATTAATTTTCTCATTTGCATGCTGCACCCAATCTTTTGTGATTAATTCAAAGAGGTTAGGCTTCACTACAGTGAATATTTTGGACTGAAAAAAATGATGATTTGCTTATATCTTTGGATGTTATTGTTGCAAAAACTGTCCGTTTATTTTTTATTCAGCAAGCAAATAGTATTTCAAGAGATATTTATGTCCTTTGAGACTGTAATGACTCCATGAGAAATAACGCTTGTCAGAGAATCCATACTTTAACTGAAGTGACAAATGAAATCTCATCAGCACATGATACCGCAGTACCCTCCACAATGAACCCCACCCTAGCTTGAGATGCGCCATGCCGGCCTCCGAAAATAAGCAGACAAATAGCAGTTCCTTAGGATTGATAAGAAATTTCTCAGTGAAGATTTAGTGAAATCGATTTTTTATACTTTCAACAGACAGGAAATTTCCAGCAAAATCACAGCTGGAGGAGCCGTCCAATCCTCGGCTGTGTATCTGAGCTGATTTTAGGCTGTATAAGGAAAACAGGAGACAATTGGTTGTACAAGTATGAGGAAAACATGCACATTTCACACATTTTATCTTCACTGGGGTGCAAAGCATTATTTGAATTTGCATGTATTACCAAACCTAATTTTAATTTAAAGTGATTTCTCCCCCCACCATCCATTAGTCATGGTAAATCGATAAAAACCCACTGGGAGAATGCTTTGCTAATGACTGGCACACAGTTTCGCTAGAGCACTCATCAGGACTATCTCTCTTTCTCTCGCTCTTTCTCCAGGCAGTGGTCCTTAATTGCAATATTTAAAAGAGTGCAAACACAGAAGAAGTCCCTTGTGTGTTTTGACTGTCTGCTACAATGTACCATAATGACTGTACACTTGCAAATGATGTAGAATGGATAAACTTTAGCCAAACATAAAAGTAGGCATGAAATGCATATTCATTTTCAAATTTTCTAAATGTATGTTATTGATATTACTGTGAACGATTCATTTTACTTGTTATGTTTTGAAGGCTTTTCTCCGTCCCAGTGGTCTTGGTATTTACTGACACCTACTGGCATGGATGTATGAAGCTTCACTGAAGCTGTTTACCTTTTGTTTTGTTCCTTTTATATTTCTTTGCTCATTCTACACAACACATTCTTGGTTTCAATCAAAATGAGCACTGTGTGCAAGCGCTATTGATATCTTTAATATATTAATATTATGAAACGTATGAATATATCTATTTTCTTAACAAACAACATTACATAAAACAGACACCAAAGTCAGTAGTAACTACAAAAATAAAATATATATTTAAAGAAAGACAATTGAAATGTATCATATGTTCATGTGATGTCAACAAGGTGGCTCCTATATGAGTGTGACTGTCTAAAAATTAATATGAAATATTTGTTGAAGACTGATATGAAAGTAAGTCTTCATCTTGTGTGAGTATATTTAGTAATCCTCAAAAGTATGATTAATTAATTCATGTATGATTAACTCCTTTAATTCACCAAAAAATGGAAGCACTAAAACTACACTGGGCTATATTGAAAATGTACTGAAAACATACAAAATACTTAAAATTCAAATTACATTATGCCAACTGAATAACACACAATCTGTCTTTTCAAAGTAGTCCTGAAACAAATTACAAACAAAAAAAAAAACGTAAAACTGACATGAATTGAGCTACCATAAAATAGTTATTATGAAAATCAGAACAGTTGCCATACCCAGCCCTGTTCCCAAACACACACACACACACACACACACACACACACACACACTCACTCATTCATATAATATTTTTTATCTCTCCTCTTATTCCATGCCTGAAGTCTATGGTGGATTTCTTTGCTTTATCGCTGTTACACAGAAGCTCCTTCTTGGCAACAGTGTGCGAGCACTGATAGCCACTAAATGAATTTGGGCTCATGAGATGCACAGACTCATAAATCCCTCATGCACTGATAACTGCATATCTTACCTTGAAGTTTGTCCTGTTCTAACCTCTAAGCCCTGCTACCGTGGAGCCGTGTACTTATGGCTTCCAGAACATCCCAAACATGAAGCAGTCTTGCCATATTGTCTTTGGAATAGTTCCTTTGGGGGATAGCTGTAATGCTCTCTATTAGCACTCCTCTGGGCTCTTCTTATACTTTTTATCCCTCTTATCAAACTTAGTGTTTTTAAATTGTCAATTAAATTGTCATTTATATGATATTTGATATCTTGGTCTTGGGCTTGCTCGTAAACAGTATTGACGATAATATTGTTCATGTCATTTGAACAAGTCACTTGAGTAAATGATTCAATTATTCACTTACAGTACTTGTTTCGTTCCTAAAAAAATTGAAAATTTGAAAATGTACTCACCCTCAGGTCATCCAAGATAGATGAGTTTGTTTCTTCATCGGAACAGATTTGAAGAAATCGAGCGTTACATT